GAAGGACGGGCAAGGCGTGTATCGCCTAAATACAAATGTGAACTTTATCTAAGCCGCAAGAATGAGTTCAAAGATGCATTTTTACATAGAACCGTTTTCATAGGTGGGTGTTATTGCACGTCAGCTTTTAACATAGCCTTGTTGTGAGTTCGCTCCTTTTGAGTCTTTGTGAGTCCTTGTGTTGGTGAACACGTAATCCCATCTATTGCTGTAAAATCATGTTTCCTCGAGATCGAATGGTCTCGCATTTCAACGGTGTACACCTTATCTCTTTTACTTAAAAGTACCGAAAATGGGATCCTATAATTGAGGAAGCGACGAAATAAAGGAAATGTCAGTGCCTCTTTTTACCGCTACAAACTGATTTATTTGAGCACTTCCTGAAATTGTACACTTTCTTTTTCAGCCAATTCTCATTGTCTATAGTCATAAGAAGACTTTAAGCCTTCGACACGGGCAACTCCAGCTATAAAATGTCACCTCTTGAATGAGCGGAATTTCGCAGACACTGTGAAATCATCAGGGTGGGGATGATCCCCGAAGACACAGGCGAGTGATTTCTTATCTTACTTCTGTTTTGCTGCTTGCATGGTTAAAAATGTTCGATTTCAAATGTGGATGTCTGTTTTAGATAGTCTCTATCTTTGACTCTTAAGTTTTCTGAAAAGAGGGAAAAATTCTTACGCGAACGGGTGTTTGAAAAAAATGGGAAACGAAACGCAATATTGAGGCGGAATCCTTTCTGCAAAGTTGACATGCGTTTAAGTGTCAAAACCACAATGAGGACCTGTTTCTACTGTTTCAGCACAGTGGACCAATTTGCTTGATGCTTCCGATTCGGCCAACATAGATTTTTCCATTGCCGAGTGATGTAACCCTCAATGCGGGTGGAGGAACGTCGAAACGCTCTTCTACTTCTGCCTCCTCGATTCCATCTTACCTCAATAACTCGGTTGTAGTGTCAGTATTAGATATTACTTTCTGCATTTTAACTTTGAACTTTCCTAAGGATGTCACATATGCCTTCAGTCAAAACCACATAGCACAGTTATTTTCACTTTAAGGAAATCTTCTCAAAATGTTGCTTAATTGGGGCGTAATGCAAATGTTCTCGAAAGCACCCGAATGCATAGATTGCATTTAAGTCTCTGCCAACATTTATGGGTTGTTATGATTAAGCCAGAATGTCATTAAGCGTATAGTTCCACCGCATTTAAACTGCCCATCGTGAACCACCGAATTCTTATCCTACTGCTCACAGTACAATGTATTAAAATGCTGTTGTAGGTAGACTGAAAAAATACTCTTGCTTGGTAACTTAGACAGTGAAAAGGAAAATGAGGTGATTAGGGTCATTCAAACCCAATGCCAAGTGGACCCATTACTTGAAAAGAGCTTGAAACTAATGACGCATCGGAATGAGAAGCTATTCACAAGCACAAAAATATGCCACGTGCTTGGGATAGATTCCGTGCACCGTCGAACTTTGCACGATACTGAAACTCTGATCCAAGATGGAAGTGGCACTACATGCACTTCTCGGTTACAGTCTTCATCACAGTAATACTCGTAAGGATAAAATGCGAACCAGTGGCCTGGATGCTCCGCAAATGGAAAAGTTGAGTTGACTGCTAATGCAGAAAGTCATTGCAACTGACTGGCGCTTCATGATGGCTGCGCTTTTGCGAAAAGCAGTGTAAACTTATTTAGCCTCAAAAATCGAGTTACGTAGTCCACACTAGCCTTACTTTGTGTTTTGATTATGGCTGAGAACAGTTGTGAGTCAAATTTTACCTAACAATCCTTCCACTGACCAAAAATTGTGGCACCGCCGATTTGCAAGTAATTGTTGTGCTACACATTGTCGACAATTCTGTGATATGAGGAGGCAAACCTCTTGAAACGCACGACAAAGTCAAGAGTTGGATAGCAAGGATCCATGTCACCGAAACTGCTTCAAGTGTTTGCATTCTTCTGTCACACCAATTCCTCCACATTCACATCGAAGTAGACACATTTTTAATCCTCTATTCCAATGCAATTGTCTAATGGCTTCATATGTATTATAAAGTCCAGTATTTGAATTTAACATTTTTCTTCAACTTGAAAAAAAGCACTCAGAAAATCCTTATTAAATGCACCAGTGCAATTCCACCGCAGTCCTACTTTACGGACTTGAAGGTCTCCGATATAACGGATAGAAAAGTTAAGTTCTACGCTATTCCTTTGATTTTCCATTTTGTTCATGGTACTTGACAGGGTTTAGGAAGCTTTAGGTCATTATTTTTCGAGCTTTGCCCCTGTCAAGTCTGTGAGCATGCACAAGCTCGCAATCATCACCGAAACCCTAATACGTGCGGTAGCGGCCAAAGAGATCAGACATGAGTTTTTCACTATGGTTGCCATCTAAAAAACTCTGAAACAACTACCGTCGGCCAATCCTTCACCGAAATTTCGCTGAACTGAATCAAATGGCAACATTACCGAACAATACACCTTAAAAGCTCGGACTTTCCGAGCACACTCGATTAAAGACATTACTCATTTTCTAGATTAGCATTTCATTCAAACGCGATGTACTTTTCGGTTAGCTCAACTTTGAAAATAAAGCAAGTTTTGGCCTCGAAGTGCCATCGTACTGCCACAATTTTACTTGACTTAAGTGCTTGAATTCGCATCCTTTCTTTCCCGTTTGGAGTCTGTTTCATTTGCACAACAGGTGAAAGGAAAAGGTGTTGATCCACAGCTTACCGCTACCACACATAGCAAAGTCTTTCCCGTAAAACGGACTGTTCCGTATTTGGCACAGAGAAATCCGGAAGCCCAAATGCGCATTAATCACAATAGTCCGCTTCCGATTAAGAAACAAAAAAGGTTAGAAGCTGACATTATTACTTGCTATATTGGCACAAAAAGTACTCATTAATGCTTTGTAATGGCTGTCGTCAATTTATTAATTCATGAAGCCATCGAACAGATGCATCGGCCCTGCAAACAAGGCGAGCCAGTTTGAGAAGGTGAGCACATGGATTGCATCCCCACCTGACCGACCAGGCTGTTGCGTGACTGGCATGAAAAGCTCCCTTTTTTTCCTACAAAGGTGCGTGCAGAATGCATTTCACTTTAAATGTAAGCTTCGATAATCTGAAGAACCTGGTTGAACCGCCTCACCACTGGCGTCAATGAGATGGGGGAACAGAAATGCGAATTCTTTCAAGGGCACTAGAGGATAAACGGACTTAACTGAAGAATCATCCGCATAGAGTCTTTATAGCAACGTAGTTTTATTTCCCCTTTAGTTTCTGTATCACATTCTGTTCAAACAAATTATTGTAAAGCATCCTATTGTCCTAATCAAACCTCTCTAAGGTGTTTGCTTAACAACTACCCCTAAATTTGTCAGTTTTTTCCTATAAAACCAGACAAGAGTTAACTTATCAAACTTCCTCAAAATGTTTTGCTGAATAAAAGAATTGACGTGTTTGCAAAGATCACGTTCTTTGGCGTTGGTATTAGCACTTACCCTTGAGCCACCACATCTCCCACCGACGCTGGACCTTATCACTGCTGCAAAATCACCTTTGCCGGTTAGTGAATGCAGTATTTTAGTTAAGAAATGCAAAGTGTAAAATGCAAAATGCCAGCTTTGGAGAGTTAGAGTGAAGCTGTTGTTATTATGGGAAGCGTAAAATGAACAACATAGTCGAGTGGATTTCAAGTGGGATTCTTCAGTTTCCCTTCGTAGGCGCTTTATTTGGCATTGACTCTGCAGCCACAAAATTTTTTTTGTCTTGAGCAGCAGAAAACAATGCTGTGGCATGTGTGAAAATGAAGCAATCTTAATCATCTCGGTCGCAAATGCATTGAGAACATTGGTTATGTATTTTTTATGCAATGCAAATGAAAATAGTAGGTTACTAAGATTGTTACTTTTAATTTAGAAGTTTATCGTCAAGGTAACCTACAGTATGCAATGCATCTGAAAGCACCACAAACCAATTTCCGATGTAAATACGGAAGCCTCTAATTTTTACGTCTAGGATTCCAATATAAACATTGTTTATCTAGATGAGTTGCTGCACTTCACCTGTCTGACCGGATAGTTTTTTAGTGAGACTTTTGCATACCAATCAAGAATGCTCAGAGCCCTTAGGAGTAGCAAACTGCTATTCTCATGGATGGAAGGTATTCATAAAATACAATACTGATGCCAACTCCTACATGCGACGAAGGCCCTCCATGTTTACACTAGTCTTATGCTAATGCACGGTTTACGGAAGTGGACTGGTGAGATGTGTAACACATGCGGGCTGCTATGTATTTTGATGAGCTAAAATGGGTGTCGTAGGTGTAGACGGCTATAATTATTCAGTGAGTTTTATAGCATCTCTAGCTAAGCATTTCATCCACTACACACCGAACAAAAGTGTTATATTCCTTTGGTTTGGAGCACTGGGCTCACCACAATCATTGTTTCCGAAGATGAAAGTTGGAGCGGCGATCCCACTCAACTGATAAGCAACTCCCATTCGCCGAGCGCACGTGTATGCCTCGTGCCAGTCAGCCAGAGCCAATGGGAGAAGTGGTAGAGCTGAAAATCGATCATCCAATCAACATTCGTCTGGCAAACCATAGTAGCAAGTGGTCGACACGGGCACAGCGAGCGCTAATCTAGTTCATTCTCGCTCTCTCACCATAAACTTGGCCGAAGTGATAGGCTACATGGCCTTGAGACCCCGTTAACCAGGCGTGCCCACCACCTCCGAAAAATTGAGGTAGTACGAAAATCAATCGTTTCGTAACGCATATAGCCTTCTACCACCCACGCACCTTCGCAGTTGTAACCAACCCGAGGCCCCTGAAACTACTGACCTATCACTAGCTTCCTCACAGATAGCATAAAAGCCGCACACGCAGTGTGGTTCACTCTTTGGGTTAAATTGCACAGACCTATTTGTTTGAGCATCACTAGACTACGGCTTTGGTAAACCCTGCATTTAATGTGGCGAAATTGGCTGTCAAGGTCACCGACACCTTCTCGACACGGTGACGAGGAGGAATGTAGATCGGCCACCCTGCCACGTCAACAACACCACCAGCACCGAGACGGTCCTGAGGCGTCTCATCGACCTAGCAGTTTAAATGCCCCTCGAGAGAAGAAGAGTCGCTTCGACTTTCTTCGACCAAAACGGTGGCGCACTCTATCTCGCTCGCGTCACACTTCACCCAAACGCCATTGCTCCACATCAGCTGAAGACGTTGCGACTCGGCATAGTAGTAGCGGCTCTCGTACCCCAACCAACGAGGAAGCAAATCGCACAGCCCTTCCACTTTGCCTACATGACTCTGTCTCCACGGGGATAGATGATGTCACTCCCAAAGCGGAAGACGCGGATAAATCAATAAAGATGTCGCTTGAGTCCTCAGGCGACAAAGAGATCATCGGGACATCCACCCATGCTCTCGAGTCGAGACGATTGAGTAGAAAAGACTCAGGCAAAGAACAAGCCCAACACCAAACCTCAAAGCCTTCACTATTCCATTTTGTCAAAAAGACGTCCGAGAGGAATGAAGATCAAACGGTCAGTCATTGATTGTAGAAGAAGGAAAAGTGTAGGTGTTAAAATTTTGCAGTACGCGTATTACTATTAGTCAAAATTTAGCAATTTTGAGATGCAGTACACCTTCAATGTCCTTATTATTGAGGTTAATGATTTTTTAGCGACGGGAGCTAGGAAAAAATTTTGCGAAGTTCTTTTGGTTGAAAAGGGGATTGAGAACTTCACAACCAAATTTCTACCTTTTCAAAATTGACTTGCCACTCACCTTTCATGCAAGACCTAAGTCCAATTGTTTGTCTTAAAATACCTGCGAGCGTACTACAGAAAAAAACGCTACAATTGCTATTATGCACAGGATAAATGTGATGGCTCCTCCATTTGGCCCTTGGATGTATCTTTTGACCCACATTGTACCGACAAAAGCATATTTCGATAGCTTCGACATACCACAGAATTTAGCAATTTTGTGCTGTGCCACGCAAATTCAATTGTGTTCCTAGTACGTCCGAATTTTTCTAAAATCATGTCAACATCACAAGTGTAGGTGATGTGTCTCAATCCTTTTAACGCTTTCCACCAACTCTTTACTTCTATTCGAAACAAATATCAGCATATGATTGAATTCTACTTCTTCTTTACGTCATGCGGATGATTACTTTTAAGTTCCTATTAATATTTTTCGAAACGACTACAAAAATTTTGAAGTTGAGTATGTTCAGCATACTAAAGAAATCCGATTTAATTTCTCGTCTATTAAAGCTGAGCAGGAGATTACAGTCGCGCAGTTACCCCACGCTATTGAATCCAAATTTGCCCGATGTTAGTATTGTTATAATTTATTGAAACCTCATTTTAGAAACTAAGATTAAAAGAAGGCATCAGATGATATTGCAGGTGGAACTGGTAAAAGTTGGCTTAGCAATTCTGACGAGAGAAAGCCAACAGTCACCGTAGTCGATCCCAAGTGGGCGTCGACAGTTACTTTGTTGTGGCAACAACGTTTTTCTTACTTGGCAGTTACTACATTCATGCATGAGGGTGTGATGTGTTTGGTTTGTGATCGGTGGACGGTAACATAAGCATTCGAAAACTGTATGTATTTACCACGCGATGCAAGAAAGCATCATTTTGCTAGTCAGACCGCGACACTGCACTACTCCTAAGCATTTAAATGCTGTAGGTTGTGTAAAAGGCTTAACAATAACGGCAAGAAAGGTTGGACATAGAGGACTTTTTTGAAGAACAGAGATGATCTACCGTCTTCTGCCTTTCACTATCCGTTTGTTGATCAGAAGCTAAACATTTGCTTGCTTTCAGTTGGAATAACGGTTTCCAGTGAAATAAACTGTTGGAAAGCACATACCAAAAGCAAGCCTGGGGGTGTATGATGGAAGGTTTTGATGCGTGGATCGCTGCTACCTCATTTTGACTCAGTGCCCTAGCAAAGAACGCATTGTGATGTACTTCAAAATTCTACCATATTGATAGTACAATAATGAGTACGCTTGTGAGTTGAAGCTGTCACCGTTAGCGAAGGCAACTTGACCCCAGAATTAGTGGTACAACATGGCCTTATTCGGAATTGTTTTAGATGTTCTCCTATGCTATTTTCACGTTTGCCTCCCACAAGGTCCTTGCGACTGACTTTTTCAACTTCATTAATTATTCGAACAACAATTGTCGGTTGAGTCGGGACCGTATGTGCTTTCCTTCGCGATGGCCACAGGTAACTGCATGGGGGGCGCCTTCTACAACCACCATTGTAAGCATTTTCACGGCAAAAGAAAAAACTGGGTTATACTACTTACAACCTGGAATAAATCAAATCCTGTCTACTCACAGGAGCAAAGTTTCGTGAGCTTGAGAAAATGTCTTTATTTTTGATCCATTTTTGGCTGTCTAACTGATGCTCTTCTAAAATCCAGTACAATTGGTCTTGTTCTGTTGAGGGTGAGCTTTATTTGCATTCCAAATCCCCAGATTTCCTCCGCTCAACTAAATTGTGGCACAATTTCTAAAGAAGGCTAATTTGTGAATGCTAAATCTTTTAAAACCTAAAATTGAGATGCTGGTTAATTAGTAAGAAGTTCGAGCCGATGCCTCCTGTAAGCACATAACAATAGAGCTTAAAGATTCCCCTTCAATACTTTGCATAAGTCGCTGTTTGATACTCCAGAGATTTAAAGTTGCCAAAGCAAACGATTGGGTCGAACCTTCAGGAGGTGTATGTTCACACAGATAAAACATGAAAGACTCCCTCGTTCGTAGTGCTTTGCAGACTTATTGTGGAAATGTGCTTCTTTGTGCCTTCTAAGTATCATCGCCTGCTGTAGACTGGAAAGAATAAGGCGATAAACGGAGATCAGATGGAACATTTTGACTTGATTAGCATGTCAAGCAAAAGGAACACAACTAGTTCCTCACTAGAGGGTTGCTTTGAACTGTGGATTACTGCTGCGACATAAGCAACTGTCGTCAACAAGCATAACTGGGTCTGCAGATGAACGCAACTTGGGTTCAACTCACGTCTTTGATCAGACTAAAAATCCTTTTTTGACGGGAAAAGTATGCAAAAATGCATAAAAATCTACAGCAGTTGTTTTCTACTTCAAAAGTATTTTCCATTCTTCCCAAATAGGAGGAGTGTTGAGGTTTCATAAACGTCTGAGTTAAACATCCTGGAGCATGAATGACAGAAGCATTGCGACATGTAAATAGGCCTTTTCACTTATTCTTAGCCATATCCAATTATGTTTGGTATTCACTTTAAAATAAAAACATCCAGAGGTTACTGCAAATGTAAATGCTAACCCCACCCACTGCCTCTTCTTCCATCTTTGCCTTTTCTTGATGCATGACAGGGTATAGTTATTTTCGCATCTTCTTGGACATAAATCACGGTAGAAATTTGTGGTAAACAACCAATCACTGTCTTGCCACTTACAGAAGCGGAGGATTGTAGTTGGCAAACCTCTATTTGGAAAAGCAAGCACATCTTGACGGAGATTCGCTAATTAGTTCGGGATTTTTAAGATTTTAAAGTGTTGTTCAAATGCCAAATCGTTTAATAGAGGACTGATGCAGGCAGCGCTTACAACATTCACCAGAGCGGGTTTCCGGAGCAGTCGTCAAACGGTGCCTGATACGAGCCTCTAAAATTGTAAACAAAAAACTTTTTTCTTACTCTTCCCCTCCAATATGTTGGCCCAAATGAGTCCCCCAAAGAAGTTCATTTACCTCTTAAAATAAGCTTAGTGCTGCATTTCGAAAGGAGAGCCAAACTGCTTCTGCAGAGATTTTGAAGAAATTGGCAAACTCCCACATCTGCGAAGTCATGACCGTAAGTTAGCCAATTTCCAATGAAAATTTTGTGAATTTGCAAATGCATGCATTCCGAAACAGGAATGCACGATACAATAGCGCAATTTTCCCACCATTTCGTTCAATCTCTAAAGCACTCAGCATTTAAAGCAATAAGCAAAACGAACAAATTTATATGCCTTTTGAAAGGTACCCATACTGAAAGAGGGATAAGTATTAGTTTTAATTAACTGGCATATTTGCTTCGAGCATCATGGGAACGTTGCACCTCGGATGTACTCCCTTGAGCTGAATGTCGAGCATGTGACATGCATTGTTTATCGTTGGATGGGGAGTGGTTATGCCAAAGAGGGTCGAGGCTAAGGCAATGGTGCGGATTATGGCAACAGCTTTTCAGAGCGCAGTCCGACCCTCCTTTGTAGCAACAAATGCACCTTTTGATACGGTAGTTTGAAATTTTAGGGCATTTTAAACGCCAGGCCGTGTGCCCATGGTGGGACTTTTTTCCATGACTTTATTGGCGGTGCTCAATGCAGAACCAATATGTATTTATTAGTAGTCAATTACTAGACTCGAAGAAGCAGTGCAGATTATCACGAATAAAGTTAATCAGCCGACCGTGAACATTTTCATGGTCAACTTTATTAAATAGCTCACTTGCCTGAATTGGGTGGTGCGATTGGCTGAACAAGTGGTTCAGGAACAATGAATTGTAAAGTTTTTAACAACAATTATAAAGACTGATTGACCTCTTGTTGATAATGGTACAAAACATTCAACCAGTGGACAGCTGCCTTACTGCTTGAAGTCATGAAAAACACAGTCCTTTATTGGTACAATTCACAATTTTTACTTATTCTAAAGTGGTACATACCTTTATCGTGAATAAACATCTGTTACTTGTGAAAAATTGATAACTTAATAAATTGAAATTGCATTTGCTCATGTCTTTTTCATAACACCCCATCTCCAGTAGCAGAGAGAAAAGGGCTTTAATCACCTAAACAGACTAAGAAACATTTAGTGTGAAGAAAAGCCTGCTTTCATCCTCCTATTCAAAATTGTCTGCCCGAATTCTTCCCCAATGCAGGGCTATGGCTAACTGGCTTGCTTAAGCTCAAAGGGGTAGCATCATTGTTCAAAACCTAACCGACGTGCTCTGGTCTGCTCTGAAGACCTGAGCAGCTTTTCCCAGGCAGGAACTTCCCCTTAAATCAAAGTTATCTCGCCCACATAACAATAAATATTTCAGAGGGCGTTTGCCTGCATCATCCTCGCAAGAGTTTGATCGCCTCCAAGGGGGACTGCGCCATAAATCCTTGTCACCATGACTTTGCTTTAAAAGTAAGCAGGGACAGTGCAAACCTAATAAATAAATTCGTTTTACTATTCTAAAAATCTATATTTAGGAGTAAATTGTGAGAAGTAAATATGTGGTTTGATCATGAAAATTCTTATTACTTCCCGCTGAAGCCAATAAAATTCGTCATCCATGCCCTGGAGGTTGCAAATGATGAGTTTTACTAGAACTTAAGGCATTGCTGTGATGGCATCAGCCTACATCATGCATTGGGCAGGTGTTTCAACAAATAGATGGACAACCTTAAGATTCACCAATTCTTTTAGGCCACTCATGTGAGAATCTGTTTGAGGGTCTGTTGGATAAAACCACATTCAAGCTATACAATGGACAGTTTACCATGGTGGTGATA